TTTATAATAACAAGGCAAGGTGTCTTATCCTTGAAGTGGAGCAATCTTGAAGTGAGACATCTTTAATGATCTTTCCAAATGATCACTCCCACTGATCAAATGGGACATCTTATTGATCGTTTAAATGATCACTCCCACTGATCAAACCATTACTCCCACTAATAAAGTTATTCTTGAGCATAGATGATATACACACTAATGATCCTCAAGTCCAACTAATTTAACAAGGATTATAATTCCCCACCATAGTTGGACATGTTAAATATGTACATGTAACAGACACAATTTCCAACTATTTAAACAAATTAAATTGCTTTAGTTGAAATTTGGCTAGATATGTACAATTCCAATATAAGGATCCAAAAGTATATCATGTCCAAATTCAAAAGCTCTATTGTGATTGGGCTGAAAAAACGAAGTAAGCCACATACAGTAACAATTTCAAGTTACTAAAGTTTTGGAGTTTAACAAAATACATGTGCTGCCAATGCAACCCATGTGACATAGAATTATAACTAGCCTTAAAGTTATAAATTCTAAAATTGGTATGATAAAATTTTATCTTGATCATCAATTTAAACAGAAGAATCCAGTGACATAAAACTTGCCTGTAGGCTAAAGATTTATTCAGTTAGACTCAACTGAGACTTTATGGTAATCAAATAGAAGAATCTAGTGACACAAAACTTGCCTGTGGGCTAAAGTTTTGTTCGATTAGACTCAACTAAAACTTTATGATAAAATTATTATCAAAGGGGATAGAAGAATCTAGTGACATAAAACTTGCCTGTGGGCTGAAGTTTTATTCAATTAGATTCATCTACAACTTTATGATAAAACTATCAAACCATGTTCCTTTTCTTAACCCCTGTGGGTAAATTAAGAAATATGATTTAATATTTTATCTTGACTATTTACATTAATATAATAAAATTCCTGTGGGTAGATTTTATTATACTTTATGTAATTAGTCACAAAGTGATCAAAATAACTTAATAATTTCAGTTATGAAATTGTATCGATCACTTGATATTTGTACACAAAAGAATATTAATGTACCAAGCTATTAATCCAAATTTCTTCCATACATAAAAAATACACATAAAAGAAACTAGACTAATACCACAAAATGTACACATAAAAATACTTTTGAATATGTACATATATCATAACTTTATGATAGAAGATGTCAATTTATTTATATTAAAACCATATGTTAAATAAATTTACCTTCCTATCTATAATGATAAAACTCACCAAAACTATATTCCGATGCATAATTGCCTGTGGGCTAAATTATGATCATAGTTTGGTGTTTTTACCCTAATTAATTATATAAACATAACAAAATTGCCTGTGGGCTAAATTTTATTATATCATATAATTAATCACAATCAATACGTCTACTGTATGTGATCTCACAAAATTTCAATTAATCAAAGATACCGTGGCTATTACTTAATTAATCAAAATTATAAGATCACTAGATAATTTTCTTAATATCTTAGGCATCAACTTTAAAGCCTAAAAACAATTATGCAACAATATGATAAACAATCCCAAGTGTACTCCCAGGAAAGTTGGTTGGGACGGAGCCTCATTAAAAATAACCAACTCCTTAGACAGAGTAATGTTTCAAGGGAACTAGTAACACATTGGCCCCTTCTCGAGAAACTTTTCACCGGTTCAAGTTTTCTCACACTAAAGGCATAATTGACGATCAATTTTTCCAAATCTTTAATATTTCACCTATGGAAAAACTTTTAATCTTAAGTGAACATTCTAAACGGTCTAAAGGTGCTTAAACATAATGCACTACCGTTTATTATTCCACACACAAAGTTCACCTTAACAAGGAATTATTATAATTCCTATCTTATGCAATTCCAAAGGCATAATTAAATTCACATAACTAGAAAATATAATGTTATATGCTAGTGAACAATTATGTATGAAATTCAATTAATAAGCTCATATCCAAATAAATTGTACATCATAATAACAATTTAAAATGAGCTATAAAACTATTATTCAAATAAAAACATAAATCCAAAACTTTAGGGATTATAAAATTTGAATAATAATTTATAATAACCATATACTTTTCAATTATTGAAAAGTTTTAACTTGTAGGCCTAATACAAAAATGATTCAATGCATATAGTAAACTTTATGAGAACTAGCTTAAAATTGTAAATTCTAACCATATCAAAACCATACGATATGTTGACATTCACAAATTAAATTCTCACAAAACTAAATTGCATAATTTAAACCATAATATTATGCACTTAATTTAATTATATGCATAAAATAAACTTAAAAATGTGAATATAAAATCAAATATTCATACTCAATCAAAGCGGGCATCACAATCCAAAAACAATAATGATAACAATGTTACGACATATTGATTCCTCAGTTCAAAAACGATAAAGCTTTATTACTGTAATAACAATTACGAGACAATCATAATTGAACAATCAATTTCCTCAATCGTAACCTCTGACATTTAATAGAAATAACTATAACATTATCATCATTAACACATATGTTTTGGATCAAAAATGAAATGGTTTCAAAATTATGATTTCAAATCATACTATCAAAATCCAAAACAAATAATGATAGTAATGGCACAAAACATTGATCCATCGGTTCAAAAATCAATAATCGTTATTACTATAATAATTCTAATAATTATTACATAACAGTAATAACGGAATAATCAATTTTCTTAATTGTAACCGAACAACATTTAATTATAATAATGATAATCATCATTATTATTAAATGTTACATAATATCATCATTATTACCATAAAAGTTTTGGACAAGTAAATTCAAAAGAATTTCAAAATATGATTCTTAACTTCATAATTTAAATTATTATGACAATAATAAAATAATATTCAATTGTCATAATCATATGCTTTTCCAAAAATATGATTCAAAATCATGCATACTCCATAAAAATTGTCAAATTATGGCAAAATTGCAAGAAATTTATAACTACAATAACTAGCCACAATCATCACATGACATATATTATAACAATTAGGAGACTTAAAAAAAAGAAAAACAATCACAAAAACCGCAAGCCTTTAGAAAAGTTTCTTTCGGATAATTTTTACAACTTAATAAAATTAAAATCCGAAAATTATTAGTTGAAAAAATATAATAACCAACATTTTTCAACTGTAATGAGACCAGATAAAGGCATAAACAAAAGCAGTTTAAAGACAAAATATTATTACCATTATAATAACAAAATTTACTCAAAACTAATGGCTTTCAATTAAATCGAAACATGCCAATATTGAGCTGAATTACCAGTTAATAATTGTAACAAATTATGGTAATAAAAACAACTCTTATACAACATATCAAATGCAGGTCCAACTCCAGCCACAATTCGAAAGCCAAAAATTGTATACATATAAAGGCTCAATTGGACTAAACTTTATTACCATATTAGCAACGAAAAATGAAAGATAATGCATGCCATTAATGAAATGACTAATCTTGAGCATTTTTAAAAAAGGTAATTACTTAGAAAATATGGTAATTAAGTATTAAGCATTGAAATCTAATTTATGATTGAAATACAAGTTCCGTTACACAAGCTAGCCATAAAAAACGCGTGGAAATTAAAAGGGGAGTATTAAAACAAACCTTAATTGCATGTCTTCAGCGTTCACGTCGCCCCATCGGAAGACTGCAGCAGCCACCGGACGAACGCAACGGCCGTCGCATTCTCCCTTCGCTGTTGCTTGGACAACGATGTTCAGCCGAAACTCTCAAACCGAACCGATGTCGGTGACCAAATCGCAGCATTTTAGCGCTGCCCGCCTTCAACCATGGATGCCGGATTGCCGGTTTAGCGAAGCCATGATGGCCTAACTGCGATCAACCCGCCGTCATGCCAGAGGTCAAATCGAAGCCTCCTTATGCCAACCAAAGCCACACACCCCATAGTGTTGTCCTCTCAGCGGCAAAGCTCCATACAAGACCGTTGCACCATTTTCTTCATCCATAGACGGCCGGTCACCTTCCATCTGTTGCCAACTGCCGGAACTCCGATTCGTCGCAACCCCAGGTGAACTACAGTGGCGAAGAATGCCTCACCTGTCCAGGCCTTATGAAGGTTCCAGGGACTTCAAAATTCGACATTATAGACGGTGGCCATTGTTCCGCTGTCTCAGTTCTCCGGCCACAACCACCCCACGATGCTCATACCCTCGACAGATGCTCACCGGAAAACGAAAACAACAACAATTCCAGGCAAGAGCAGTAACAAAACCAGGTATATTATTATAATAATATTTTTGTTCCAGCATATGCACAGTAATATACTTGTAAGGCAAAATCACTCTTAAAAGGCCACAAATTATGTATATGTATGTGATTTGCAAAAGTAATGCATGAACACAACAAAGCGGTGGAGTGGTCAAGGCGCTGATTTGGTAATCCAAGCGCCTGGGTTCAAATCTTCCTATCACTAGAATTTTTGGATTTGGATGCTGCTAACTACAGAATTCGTTCAAAAAATATACACTGAAATTGCTACAATTCCACTGGCAACAAAAACCTCAATATTTTATACAAAATATGTTTATGTAATTTAACCAACTAGGCAAAGATTATACAGGCTCTGATACCAAATGTTAGAAATGCACAAATGAAGTAGACATATTTCATATAATCTAACCTCAATAGCGGAAGCATAGGATCAAGCATACCTCCAACCATAGTTGATACCTCCATTGGATTGCTTGAAGAACAGTAAAGAGCTGATTTTGTCTACCACTTGGTCTCCTATTCTACTAGATGGTGTAGTCACAAATTACAGGAGCAGTGGGAGGACCATACACACATATATAACCTACGTGCCATCATTATAGGTTAAGTAACGGAAACCGTTACTTCCGTTTCAAACCACAACATTATGGCCATAAATGGCCTATTAACTTGCACCACTTAATGGTGACATAATGTAAATGTTACATGTTGTCCAACGAATGCAACTTGTCATAACTAAATAAACAACCAAAAATACTTTCATATTATTGGTATTGTTCAAATCTTTAGGTCACTGATACTATTAGCTTCATATACTATGCCAATAGAGTATTGAACGCTAAAGAATTCCTCCAGTGATGAATAAGTTTCACCGCCACTCATCTAATTGTATTTTTCTAAGAACTAATATTGTATCCGTGCAATGCACGGTCTACAAATTATATTTTAATATAAAGTATTATTGTAATAAACAAATCGATTAAATATATATGATAATAAATTATACATATGACATCACAATAAATTGATTGAATATATAATAATTATATTTTATTATTAAATCCGGATAAGAACGTATACGGAAAATAGTAAATTGATAACGCAATAGGCAGAGTAACAAGATAGACGAATGTCACAGGGACAATATCGTATTGAATAGTGAATTGATAAGCGGATTACAACAGGTGTAACGCTATTACAGTAGAAGATTAAGACAAGATAGAAGGTGATCCCTTAATAGGACAAACACATGCCTATTTATACAAAACAACCCTAACTAACTCGCTAATTTCACGATGGGCCAAAAGACTAAGTTAATGCCCATGCGGTGGGCCGTATGACTAAGTCCAAGCCCAGGTGGTGGGCCGTGAGACTAAGTCAAGGCCCATCATTCTGGGCCCGTAGGCAGGCTTCGGGTTTGAGAGTCTTCGTGGGCTGCTCGAGTTATACATCCCAGACCAATCGTTATACCCTGCACCACGGCGCACAGTGCACTGTGCGCCCCACGCCTCCCAAAATGACGTCGTTTTGGGAGGCGCGGTAGGAAGTTGACATGATTATGTATATTTGTTTATACAATTATGTATATTTTTTATTATGTACATTTTTTATACAATTATGTACATTTTTTTTATACAATTATGTACATCCGAATCAGGAATTTTTTGTGTATTATGTTAAGAGTTGATGTGTATTATGTTAAAAGTTTATGTTTATTATGTATTATGTTAGATTATGTGTATTATCTTTTAAAAAAGAGTATGTGTATTTTGTTATATAATTATGTACATTCATGTATACAATTATGTGTATTCTAGTATAACATTATGTACATTTTTGAACATTAGATTTTCTAAGTAAAATTAACTGCCAATCACTGGGTAGCGAAATTTCAAAAAAAAAAAAAAATTAACGACGTCGTTTTGCATCTGGGCGCACAATGCAACGCGCGCCCTGGTGCAGGACATAAATTGCCATCCCAGACCCCGGGTCTCTATTATTATTGGGCCATTTCTAATATATCCATCATCAGTCCCCCACTCTCTGAGTTGCGAGTTGTCGACAACGAGAGAGAGTAAATGTTTGGCCCAATTGAAACTGCTCGGGCTCCATGCTTGGATGAATGCTTCAGGGTCCACTTGAAAGAATATTTCGCTTATTCCAACACCTTTTAAGCTTTTAGCTTTGTGATTCATGTCTTCTCCGTTCGAGAGCGGGCTTTCTGGACGACGCAGGGTCGCTTATTAGATTTTTGCTCGCATGATTTTATTTATTTTTTCATTTTATGTAGTATGTAGTTATTTGACCAAGGGTAGTCTAGGTCCATAAACTCTTCCGTCGAGTGGCAAATGACGTCGACCTCGTGCCCCCTTAAGGTGATAGCCTTCGACCCGAGTCTTTTGACACTGGGCCGTTAGGCTTTTCCGTCGGGGTTGGTACGCGAGGTCGGACCTCGTGCCCCCTTAGGGTGATAGCCCTTCGACCAAAGTCATTTGACATCAGGCCGTTAGGCTTTTCCGTCGGGGTCGGTACGCGAGGTCGGACCTCATGCCCCCTTAGGGTGATAGCCCTTCGACCGAAGTCATTTGACACCAGGCCGTTAGGCTCTTCCGTCGAGGTTGGTACGCGAGGTCGGACCTCGTGCCCCCTTAGGGTGATAGCCCTTCGACCAGAGTCATTTGACACTAGGCCGTGAGGCTCTTCCGTCGGGGTTGGTACGCGAGGTTGGACCTCATGCCCCCTTAGGGTGATTGCCCTTCGACCGAAGTAATTTGACACCAGGCCGTTAGGCTCTTCCGTCAAGGTTGGTACGCGAGGTCGGACCTGGTAGTATCTCTTCGGTCACATCGACCGTGAATTCTTTGTCCATCACTCACAACTTTATTAGTATAAAACTGACTTATAAGAACCTCCTGTTTTGGAGAGCACAAGTTGTTCCTTTTCTTGATGGTCATGATTTGATGGGGTTCATTGATGGTACAAATCGATGTCCCGCTGTCAGCTTTTCTTTCCGACAGTGACGATGGTACGCCGGCGCAATCGAATCCCGCACATCGAGCTTGGGTTCGACAGGATCAGCCTCTCTTGTCCATGCTTATGTCGTCATTATCTGTTGAGGTGATGTTGTTGGCCATCAGAAATCACACCAGCCAGGCAGTTTGGACCGCCGTCGTAGGCTCCCTGGTGTTGTCGTCCCAGTCTCGTGGCTTAAACCTACTCGGCCAGCAGCAATCTCTTCACCAAGGAGATGCATCCGTCGTCGAATACATCAGAGCGGCTATCGCACCCTAAGGGGGCACGAGGCCTGACCTCACGTACCAACCCCGACGGAAGAGCCCAAGTACCTAGGCTCAAAGAGCTAGGACGGAGCGGCTATAGCACCCTAAGGGGGCACGAGGCCCAACCTTGCGTACCAACCCCGACGAAAGAGCCCCTAAGGGGGTCGCACCCTAAGGGGGAACGAGGCCCGACCTCGCGTACCAACCCCGACGGGAGTAGTCATTAAAAAAAAAATAGGAAATACACCGACCGACATGCCACATGTTTTATTGTCGTTTATGCAGGTTTACAGGTCGGATATTCCTGAAGGAACCCGGTCGGACCCGACCGGTGCATCTCCCGACCAACGTCTTCAACACCCGATCGATGGGTTTTGGATGAGAGAGTTGGGAAGAAGCACATGGCAACGTTACACGTTGACAGGCAGGGCTCGCGGGGTGGAGACACGTGGTTGCTACGTGGGTTACATGCCGGCCGGCCGAAATTGTGTCTCCAGCCTAGCGGCTATAAATACCCACGGCGGCAACAGTGTGGGGGACTTTTGGAACGATCGATAGGCTATTTACAGAGCTGCCCGACCGCAGTCAGTCGGCCCTCGGAATAGTCATTTAGATTGTATTAGGTCCTTCTACACGATCAATAAAAGACTTTACTTGCCTTGACTTGGTCGTATTTCTTACTTTGACCGCATTAGGTGGAATTAGTACTATCATTTTGGCGCCGTTTGTGTGGACCCGTGCACGAAAGCTAACGTTTGACGAGCACCGGTTCTATCTCTCACAATGTATCCATTCATGTATCACACTCTAAGCGATGATCAAGCAAATGTAGTGAGCTCATCCGATCATCAGCCCACTCAGTATCAAGGTCAAACCGTAGACCTCAACCTCAACCAGTCACCGCCTCACCCGGCGGCACAATACCCGGCCGCCCAGCAACCGGTCAGCTATATTCAACCGGGATATCCACCTCCCGGTCAGCAGTTTCCTTTCCCTGGGCAGTATCCGTACCCGGTCCCACCTCCACAATATGGGTACTGGCCCGATCAGCCGATGTACTACACACCCCCGACCGGCTATCCCCAGTATATGCATGTGCACACGGCTCCAGCCTCCGCTCCTCCGATTTACCCGACTATCCTGACTGAGCCGGAGCTTCAGCCCACTTCTCGGGCTAGGCGCTCGGCTCGTTCGAGGTTGGGGTCGCAAGGTGCCGAGGCCATGGAGGTACCACGGCAGGCCCAGCAGGTACAGCCGGAAATGCAAGCCCTGGCGGAAGATCCCGAAGTATAAGCCAATCGGGAAGTGGCGTTCGAGCGGCTCCGACCAGCCATGCGTCAACGATTGGGACCACAGGACCCGAGCCGGCGCTTAGTAGATTTACCGATGAGAGAGGCCAGCCAGGAGGGATCATCTGGGCATAGTGGGTCAAAATCACACCGTCGACGACGTGCCCGGGAACCGGCCCAGACACAGATGATTGAGCTTAATGAGACCCGAGGACTGCTCAACGACTTCCAAGCAGAGTTCGCTCGGTTTCGAAACGAGCACGCAATGAGGCCCCTGGTCGATCAATCAGCCTCCTTGCTGAGGACACCCTTCACGGCGAAGATAATGGCCCAGCCTTACCCGCTCGATCTGCAAGTCCCGGGCAACAAGGGTTATGATGGGAGAACGGACCCTGAGGTCCATGTCAACACTTATTACGGCAACATGATGATGATGGGCGTGTCTGACGCCGTGATGTGTAGGGCTTTCTACTCCACGCTTTCCGGTCGTGCGGTGGAGTGGTTTTGTACATTGTAGCCGGGTTCCATCTCTGATTTTGCCACTTTGGCAATGAAGTTTATGCGGAAGTTCGTTACTTCCAAGATTGTGAGAAAGCCCTACATGTACTTGGAGAAGGCCAGCAGTTAGAGGGGGAGAGCTTATCCGAATTTTTTGTCAAGTGGAAAGCCGCGGTCGAGGAGGTTAAACCGATGGATGACCTTACTGCCATCCATATGCTCCATATTTCCCTTCGGGCCGGCTATTTATACCCGGACTTCATCCTCCATCCCCCGACCACGTATAAAGAGGCCCTCCGAAGAGTGACGGATTACGCTAACGCCGGAGAAGCAAACGCCGTCAAGAGATCGCAGGAGGTCGGGACTTCATCCCGCAAACCCACCCGTCGGGCGGAACATCGATCGGGTGATGATCATCCCCGACCCTGCACTCGGCCTGGCGAGTTTACGGCTTTGAACCGATCGGCGGCGGAAGCTATGCAGTACGCCCAGTCTTGCAATCTCGTTCGCCTCCCTTATCCCGGGCAAGATGGACCGGATAAATCTAAGCATTGCGCTTATCACCGTTGTGCCGGGCATGACACGGAGGAGTGCACACACTTAAGGCAGCTATTGGAAGATTTGCTGAGTCTGGGAAAGTTGAAT